ATGAGTTGAAGAGTCTCCTCAATAGTGTAAAATATTTCAGTGATGACATATGGATTTCAGATTTGATAAATGCGCAAAAGTAACATTCAAGAAAGGAAGAATTGCAGAAAGATGCTCAATAGATCAAGATTTTGTCACAAAAATTAGAGAACTGGAACAAGTAGAAGCCTATCGGTGCCCAAATGAGGAATAAAATAAGAAGAGTATACTACAGATACGTAGGTCTGGTATTGAATACCGAATTAAATTTAAAAAAAAAATATAACAGACAAACATCTTGGCGGTACCTGTGGTGCAACACAGTTTCAGCATCTTTAACTTGGACCATAGCTGGCATTAAGCCAATGAATGCCAAACGAAAAAGCTTCTCACCTGCCACCACATGCATCATCCCAAAGCTGATGTTGATCGTCTGTATGTTCCCAGATCCGAAGGAGGCAGAGGATTAGTTCAACTAGAACAGTCTTAAAAAAAAATATAAAAATCGGCCTTCAAAGTTACCAGGAAACGATAGAAGACTGGATGTTGATTTGCGTCAAAGAACATGAAAGAAGTAAGAAACTTTATTCAGTAATAAAGGAAACCATTAAGTTCAAAATAGAGTTTCAAATGGGCAAAGGATTGCAATTAAAACATAATACACCTTGTGCAGCTGCAAAAACTTAACAAAAAAAGACAACAAAGGCAAATGCAATCGTACAGATACAGAAACGATCGAAGGATAAACCTCTATACGGTCAATATTCCACCTGGTGTAGATAAACCCTTTTAAACCTCAGTGGCTACGCAGTGGAGGGTTAAAAGCTGAAACGGAAGGTTTGCTGCACAGGCTAGAAATTACTGAAAAATTGTAATAAACCTAAATGCAGATTCTGTGATAAATATCCAGAAGCAATTGACCATCTTGTATCAGGTTGCACAGGATTAGTACCCACTAAATAGAAAACTTGGATGATAGTGTGGTCCAATATCTGCATTCAAAAATCTGCAACGTTTACGGAAATGAAACTGTAAGAAATTGGTATGAACACCACCGATACCTGGTTACGAAGATAGGATGTGCAACAATTTTATAGGACTTTATAATACACACAAACAGAACAATCAAAGCTAATCGCCCAGATATAGTGAACAAAGACCGCAAGATTAAAATGTGCCTTCATACTGAGATGGCAGTCCATGCTGACTGCAATGTATCTTCAAAAAAACAAAAAAAACAATTATTTTTAAAAATACAAGGAGCTTGAATTCGATACCTCAAAAATGTGAGAACACATGGGCTACCAGTTGTAGTTGGGACTATCGGATTGATAGATTCGTTGAAGGGATTCCTCGTAGCCCAAGCTTTAAAGAAATACAAAACAAGTGCAGTCTACGTACTACAAAAAGCTTTATCTATGTAAAAAATATTGGAATTCCAATATTCGTTTGAAGATGAAACGGAACGAATGCATTTACTTTGATTATATACTTAAATTTATAGATTTTAGCTTCCATTTTTGAAACATGGTCATTACTGTGTAGCGACAAAAGCATATTTTAAATCAGTTAATTTAATATATATATATATATATATATATATATATATATATATACTATTTATTATAATTTTATCATATAGACAAAAACAGTTTACTCATTACAAAGATGCAACTTCGTTTCGGTTCATTTCAACTGCACGGAAATGAGTTAAAACCTCTTAACCACTGAGGTGCATCCGAAATACACCGAAACGAAGTTGCATCTTTGTAGTAAGTAAACTGTTTTTGTCTATATGATAAAATTATTTTAAATAGTTATCGTTCTACTATCGAGCTCTCTTTTGGATTAATGTTGTGAACGTTAGAAATTATATATTACTTTCGTTCTCATTGCATCAGACATATACATATATATATATATATATATATATATATATATATATAGTAATTATTTGGAGGATTTGATAATTATATTTAATTAATTCCTCGAGTCTGATAGAAACCTCAACAGAATGCAGAAAGCACTGGACGGCCGTTTTGCCCGACATTTGGGACTCATCATCAGTGCGCATCCACTACCGAGAATTGAAACCCTCACAGTTAGGTTGTCAAGCAAATATCGTACCAACTGTTTCCATTAGCCTCAAATCCATTTAACAATTACTATCTGTGTATATCATTGCTTGAACCGGCTTCTAATGCTCTAAAGTAAGCGGCTTGGTGAGAGTAGTCGTGGCTCCAGGAGGCACAGTCCTATGGTTACAGAGAACACAGTAGAGTTCCACCACGGAATATGTGAGCGAGCGGCGCTATATTGAGTCTGATTTGCAATGTCTTCGGCACCGAGGCCCATTAAAACAGTTGGTATGATGTTTGCTTGACAATCTAACTGTCAGGGTTTCAATACTCGGTAGTGGATGCGCACTGCTGATGCGTCCCAAATATAGGACGAAACGGCCGTCGAGAGCTTTCTGCATTCTGTTGAGGTTTCTATCAGACTCGATGAATTAATTATATATATATATATATATATATATATATATATATATATATATATATAAAATAGAAAGGTACTGGTTAGGTAAATAATCCAAAGTTCATTAGCATTTTAGTTATTATTTTTAAAAAATAGTGCTCGATACAAAAGTAGAGCATAAATATAATTATTTATTTAAATATATGATTCCAACTCGCGACATAAGAGGTCTCATGTTTCAAAACAAGAGCCGAAAACTTCAATATAATTATTTGAATTAAATTGAGTTAAAGTAAGCTCTGTTCCATCTTCAAGCGAAATTTTTTTGGAATAACGTATTTCTGAAATTTACTTGTTTTAATAATTAAAATCAAAATTTCCATGGTAACAGCTAGGGCGAATTGTTTAAATTGGGTAGGCAGTATAAATAATTATATATATATATATATATATATATATATATATATATATATATATCAAGTATATGATTGGAGTATACGGAATGAATTCCAATAACCAACAATTTCTATTCTTAAATAGTGTGTTGAAATATAATGGCTAATTTTGTAGTGATTTTATAATATATTTATGTTATAAATTTTTTAAAATAAATAATTATATATATATTTTTTTTCTGTGTGTGTGTGTGTGTGTGTGTGTGTGTGTGTGTGTGTGTGTGTCTGTGTTCAGCCACTCGAAACCGCTAATCCTCGTTGCAGCCCCTGCTCAGGCACATTTATTGTTTTATTCAACACCCACGGATCCCACCGGTGGTTTATACTGCAACTACGCTGAACTGATCTTAGTTACGTTTTCTGGGAGAGAAGCGTGTTTTCTAGCGTGATCAAAAGTCTGAACAAGACCAGCATGCTCAAACCCTCGGGCACGATGACTTGGGACTTCATGCTAGGGCAACCACCGATGACTTCCAAGGGTTCGCTCTACCCAGGGCACATTCCAAATGTACCGCACGCTGAGACCGCTTCCTCCGCACCGATGACATTAAGACGGCAATTTCTTGACAAATCGATCATAGTCGCATTCGAACCGGATCTTATGGTCACGTTCCACATATATATATATATATATATATATATATATATATATATATATTAAGAAATGGACAAAGTCCGACAATTTATTAAATATATATTTATATATATATTAGTACTCGTTTGCAAAAACCTCGGATAGCTCAATTTGCAGTAGAAGAAAACGGTACCCGAGGAAAAATGGGGAATAATAAAAAAAGAAAGAACCAAGAACATTAAAAGAGGGCGAAAACAATCGTCAAGTGTTTAAGCTCCAAGTCTAAAGAAAAAAAAAACGCAAAACAAGTAAAAAGACGACTACATAATATGCTCAATACACTCAGTAGAGCCAAACTTAAGATAATCCTAAGGAGTCAGGCAAAACCTACTTAAGTTTCACGTAAACGGATCTCCAAGATAATGCCTGCTGAATAGGAAAATTATGGAACAGTATTTATTGCTAAAACCAAAAATGACCATGGCCACGTGACAAAAAAAAAGCGAAAAGACAAGCAACTTTATGTACTTTATTGAACAATCAACAACAAAAAATTAAATAAATAAATAAACCTATTTTAATAACCAGCTTTTCCTACGCCTACATCTACTAAGAATTTCCGATTTTAGGTTCAATAAATTTTTAGGCTCCCTATGGGTAGCGATAGCTACTTTTTCTTCCATACATAGAGAACAAAACTTATCACCCGCCTTATATTTATAACATAATTTTTTAATATTTCCCATTTCAAAATGCGGTCCGTATTATCTTCTTGTTTGATCTTCCATACATAAGTATACAGACTAGAACTGCGTTTGTAGGTTTCGCTTTTGAAACTAAGGAGGTGATTGTAATATCGTTTTTTGAAACTATTCTGGGTCGATCCTATGTGAACTATAGGGTTCTTATTAATATTGTTCGTTTTATTTCTGTATATTTTCACTTGATAGAACACACACTCTTGTTGGCACTTGCCCTCGAGAGGGCAGGCTTCCTTATCCGTACAATTACACTTAGTGGGACAGGGGCAATGTGTGGTTTGGCTCCTTAGGATTATCCAGTACAAAGACCGGTACACGAAATAAAAAAAAATGCTGAAAAAGAAACCGAACGTCTATTCAAATATGGGTATCCACGAAAAACGTCGTTTGAAGTAGTAAAAATATATTCATGTACATATGTCATTTCCCCATATATATTTCTGTGTGTGTGTGTATATTCTATAAATCATTTTACTATTTACATACATATATGTGTATATATTTAAATAAGATATTACATATATATATATATATATATATATATATATATATATATATATATATATAATTTTATTATTTACGTATATATATATATATAATATATACATATGATTTTATTATTTACGTATATATATATATATATATATATATATATATATATATATATATATATATATATATATATATATATATATATACGAAATCGTGTCAAATGTTGTGAGAGACGAGGTGTGGAATTCTAACAGACACAAA